AGACACGTCACCCACCGGACCCTAAGGTCTCTGACAGCAGGGCCACCTTCATCCCCTCACAGCGCCTTGAACAGGGAGGTGACACAGTTGATGCTCAAGTCATATTTTGGGTGGAATAATGCACGTTTGCTTTGCCACAATTTTCTCGTATAATTGACACAAGCATGAAGGCATAGACTTGTTACAAATAAGGGTTTTCTTCCTCCAGACTCTCCTGAGACCTCAATAAGGTGGGATAGGGAGCGTGGAAGGCGCCCAGGCGATGGTGGCGTCCGAAAGGCCGCCTGAGGACGGGTAAGGCCAGAAGGCGTCCCGGGGGCCACGTGACGGGCAGGCCGGCTGCAGAGCTGCTCTGAAGGCAGCTGATGCCTGAGCTGCTGGCAACAGCCCCGCTTTTGATGTTTCCTCTCTTGCAAAAACAAAGCAAGAAAAGAGATAGGAAAAAAGACTGAAAGAGAGAAAGACGAAAGGGAGGGAGGGAGGGAGGGAGGGAGGGAAAGAAAAGAATTTGGAATTCATTACTAGCAACAAGAGTTTTTCTGGTATTTTATTGAATTCTGCACACAACATTTGCAATGAAAACACTGCAAACCCAGTGCCAAATTTTAAAAAAATGGATCAATGAAAATACCACATGAGCAACAGACAAGGTGTTTACTGACTTTTACTTAACAGAAGGAGCAAAATCGTGATGACAAGAACTTGGCCTAAGCGCCTGTTTTAACTTCACATTAATACGCGATGAATTAAAAACCCCAGAGTCAAAGAAGACGATATAGAAACCAACAGGAAGCATGTTCGACTCTACGTCTCCTTCGGGATTCCAACCCGGGTCGTGAGGCCGTCGTTCAAGAACGGTCCTGACTTCATCCCACGCACAGGAAGACTTGGTTGACGTATTTGTTTGATGGTAACTAAATAAATGCAAGGCTGGAGAGCCGTCCGTTCTGATACAATACAGCGTGTGTCCCACTCACGCATCCACAGTAACGTACACGCTGGTCATCGGAGCACAGCGCGGGCAGGGGGCTGGTTGACAAGGGAAGGCGGCAACCGGGTCTAGCGTTGTCCGAAAACACAAAGAATGGGAACGTGGCTTTCCGCCCTGGAGGAACGCTGGGCACCCTCCCTACTCCGGCCGAGCAGCCGTCGGGTGTTCACTTTATCCGGGCCGTGACTTATGTTGGTTTACAAGTCTGTAGCTAAAACTTGGCCATGTGTTTGAACTACAGCTAAATGTTAATGCTGCTATCTAACACTTGATAACCAATTCTTTTTGAATAGTTGCAGGAAAGAATGAGTTTTCTTGACAATAAAGACAGTTTTTCCACCTGGCCCCCGGCCCTGTCCTCCCTGATCCTGCTAAACACACGCGACGGAGACCACGGGCTGAGCAGGGGTTTCTCCCGGGGGCCTGGCAGCTTTCAGTGAATCAGAACTGGTGGGGGTTTCTTGGGGTGATTATTGCTTCTTCCAACTGCTCAGCAATCAGTCAGTAAGAGGGACTTTTAAACAAGGACATTAGAAGATGAGTGAAGGAGGTCATTGTGTTCGGTCTGGCACTTTGACACCATCTGATGGCACGTCCGTGGCCAGGGTGTGTGGACCTCATATGTTTTCAATGGAGAATGTTTGGCTGCCGCCCTGCCGAAGGACGGTATTTGGGGAATATCTAAACAGCTCTGACATTAACAGCAACATTGCCTTGTAGATAAAACCTGAACTGTCTCATGTATCATATAGAATTAAATTCGGGGTGAAGTTTTAAGGAAAATGGCAGGGGAAACAGTGACGGGGAACAGTGCAGAGAACACGAGGTTTAGAGCCACTTGCTGGGCATATAATCTTGGGCGACTCGCTCGACTTTTCTAAAAACCAAGGGCTTAATCTCTAGGCTTCAGATGGTCTTATTACTTCATATAGATGCTTTAAAGATTAAGTAAAATTTGTAAATGACCTTGGCAAAGCATGAGATAATAAGTGTTAGAGATCTCTATGAGAAAACGAAATGTACTTGTTGGTGTGACATCTGCCTAATTACTGTCTGTCTGTATGAGATTTAGAAAATGGATTCTTACTGCATGGAGCATATTACACGGAAACCCCGCACACATGCTTGCTTTCCCTGTGTATACAGAGACGTAGAAACTTTTAAACAAAAATTATACCATTTTATGGGCCAACTCCAAAAATTGTCTATACTGTGCCTTTAAAATTGAAAAAAAAAGAGAGAGAGGATATTCTATTTGGTTTATAATCATACAATTTTATCGCATTTATGAAAGACACTTTGACAGTTTTAAGTAACCTAAATGCTTAACCTCCCCCGCCCCAACCCCAGCATTAAGAGATCACAGCATGGAAACAATTCACCAGAAAGGATGCGACTATGGTTTGTCTTAGCGCGGTCAGTTCACAAATTGTTGTAAGATACACTATTAACACGATACGCTAGAATCACCATTTAGCAGGTTTCGTTAACTTAAAAAAAAAAAAAGGGTAAAATTACTTCTCACAAAGGTCACGAACACTAACACATAGGAGACTCAATTATGCTTAAAGTGAAAGTTCAGATTCACAGAACCAAATAATCAGATTAAACATTTTAACGAATTGCTCCACTCGTCAAAATACATATTTCCTGTTATGACTGAGGCCTTGAAAAACTGCCCCCTTTTCTGAATGGAGGGAGAGACCACTAAATTGGACAAATAATCTCATTATGACAAAATATTTCTGTATTATTCAAATGGACTGCTATCATTGTAACCATTTCCTTAGTGTCCATATTTTAGCATCTTTTAGTCTAACCTCTACCATAAAACCAGCAACCAGAATAGACTCTTGTTTTTCAATGGGCATAATTCTCTCTTATCTATGTTATACAAAACTTATAACCCTTCTTTCTCCAACTGTCCACTAAAGCCAAACAGAAGTGTTTGGGTTTTCCCTGAATTCTGTTTCTCACTCCTGAGCAAAATGAATTACAATATGGCCCTATCAGGCCTTGTTTGCATTCACAAAAATTGGCAAAATGTTGTGAATATTATTTTAAAGGATAGCCATTGCTTCTGGGACCAAAAGGGCATTGGCTTTTTAATGGGAACACAAATGCACCCTGCCATCAGCTACAGTTCATTGGTCAAGCATCATCGATTTAATTCTGATTCGCTAAGTGGTTATTAAAATACAAGCATTTCAATAGGAGGTTCCCTGGAATGGGCGTTTTGCTCAGTGAATGAACTCGACATTCACAGATGAAATGCTAAATCGTAACAAAGAAAGCAGGGTCAGAGTGAAAAGTAAGGTTTACACTGGTTTAGGCCTTGCCGAGGCCAGTTAGCAGTATTGCAGGCAGGAAGGTCTGGGCGTGGAGCCGGGCGGCGTCCCAGTGACGAGAGGGGAGCAGTGTGCACCTCACACGTCCATTCAACAACGTGCAAGTGTTAGAGAATTTTCAGAGAGGTAACGAAGCGCACAGATGACTCAGGGTGAAGCCTTCGCTGTACAGAGAAGAAACCGGGGCTGAGCGGTTAAAGGGCCTTTCCTAGGCCCCGTGAGGACGGCCTAGCGCGTCCTGTGCAAAGTCCAGAGACAGCGAGGCAACCGCTCCTCCCGCACACGCCTCCCACCCCCGCCCCAGGCTATCACGTCGGGCGCAGACACGCTCTGGTCCTGTTTAGAAGTCCCTATCCGATTCCCAATCACCTAAACACGCGAGGAGATGTGACCAGTAACCTCCCCTGCGGCCCAGCTGTTTCATTCATGTTCTCGCTCTGCAGTGATTTGTCTGCTTTTTCATGACCCCGTTATAGACCCGTGACAATTCTTACAGGAGGGGGAAAAAATCCTATTTCCTCTCCTCACCCATCACCTTGAAGAATGATATGACACTTTAGAGGCCCACGTCTCATTTCTATTTATTCTCTCCTTCAGAAGAACCTGAGAAAACCTGAGCGCTTAAGTTTTCATTACACTCGTCTTCGAAGCCTCTTTAGAAGAGGGCCACGGGATCTGGGGGCTGGAAAGGGGCTTTGGGGGTGATCCAACCGAGCACACCCATTTGGCAGTTCAGGAAACTGAAGCCCAGCAATGGTTAAGTGACTGGGGTCCCGCAGGTAGAATGTGGCGAAGAATCCTGGGCGTCTGATATCTAGACCGAGACTAGTTTTACTACCCATTCAGGGAAACACCTCGGATATGACAGTTGACTTATCTGGTACCATTCTGTGCTTTCATAGCAAAAGCCCCAGCTTTGTCTTTATTTGAAACTGTCGCCTATAATAATAATGCAGAAATGACACTAAATATCCTAGAATGCTTAAAGTTGTCATTGGTGTTTAATGAAGGTAGGTCCTGTGTCTGTTTTTGTAACTGCTACAGATCCTTATAAAATACCCGGATGTCTAAGACCCCCCATGGGACAGTTGATTGATTGGTGTCGATCATGCCAATAACTGATGTGAACTGTTTCACTGCTGACCACCAGTTGTGAGTGTTACGGTGGCTGGAATGGACTGACGATGCTCTGGGCCGGTGTCTCTACCACGCGGGCTAACATGGAAAAAAACACGGCGGCGACTACATTTTTACTTCCATTAGAAATCATTCGGGTTGGAGGTTCACACAGCTCAAATCTGAGACAATTGTCACTCTTACACTTCCCTTTTTTCCAGAGTGATCTATTCTCACAGTTTTGGCCGCAGAAAAATGACTAGCAAATTGTGTAAAATTCAATGTAGCCGTCGCCTCAAAAGAAAGCGGCCTGGATGGCATCTCCGACTCATCTGTTTTACTGCTGAGAGAGAGAAGTTTGTGTCGGTTACTGACCCTGACATATTAACAATGGGATTCATCACCTGTAGTCCCTCCCACAGGGCAGCAAGCAGCGTTATAATCTTGGCTTCGCTACCAAAATATTTGGGTGGCAATTAAAATTCCACGGGTGCCCTTATTTGAACTTCGTGTTGTTACGCATTTGAGGAACAGGAGACTGGTTATTTATGCATTGGCTCAGGTGTATTTGGAAAATAAAGTATGGAAATGAGAAGAAGTCTTCTTTATGTTAAATGTTCACAGTGTGACTTTCCATAAGGCTTATTAAATAATATACAAATAGCTACCATTCTGCTGAAATGTCACAGTCGATACATTAATAATCGCACAGAAGGGAAAGGGCCCCAAATGGGAAACCATCTCCATGACCTCCTATATCTCTTTTCCAACGAAAACTTTCCTTTTTTTTTTTAATAGAAAAAAGTTTCATTTCTAAAAGAATATAAAAATAGAAAATGAACCAAGACAGCTTTGACATGTATCCTTCTGGAGGAAACTCTATAAACATTAGAGGAAACACTATATATCTTCAGGAGTGTGCTTGGTCTCGCCACGCGAACACTAAATGAACATGAAACGGAGGGAGAATATCACGTATAAACTGTGGGAAAGCATAACTCAGTGCTGGATTTTAGCAAGACAGACAACTTAAACATATAGTAAATACTGATAGCATTTTTTTTAAGTTCAGCTAACACCTGCCTACGAGATTAATTTGCAAATCTAGCATTTTTCATCAAAAAAATAAAAGCATGTTGAATCAAGCAAGGCACATTTCTTTTAGGCAAGCCTGCCTCTGACGTCATTCATGCCGGCACAGTGTCATTTCGCTTCCTCTCGTGTGCAGGGGCTGATCTGGGTCCGAGAGCCTTTGGTACAACACACAGCCTCACAAATAAAGGCGCACGTAAGCCTTTATTAGAAGACAACGCGACTAGAGCTCCCGGCTAAACCCAGTCCAGTAATTCGCCGCAAGAAGAGACACAGCAATAGCTGGCTTGTCGGAAACATTCCGGTTTTCTTTGTCAGCCACACTGATTAGTTTTTGGATCACTGAATTTCACCAAAATGTCAAAAGGTTGAAATGATGCCCTGACATGTGTAATGGTCTTCTTTATCTCTTGATGAGTTATACTGCACGCCATTGGAAGATCCTCGGAGCTATTTCCTCTACAGAAAGCATTCGTAAGGGACAATGTTATTTAGCGTCAAGTGCTGGCCGACCGGTCACCGGCGACAGCGACAAGCCCGGCACTGCGTTCTTGAGCTAGACAGTGAAAACCTGAGCATCCTACTGGCCTACGCGGCTCGCCGGCTCTGTATGCGGGCTCTTCAGGGATCTGTTGACAGAATAAACACAACAATTTACTGTATATTTAGTTTTTTAAAAATCACAGACCTGCCTGGCCGGCGTGGCTCAGCGGTTGAGCATCAACCTAGGATCCAGCAGATCGCGGTTCGATTCCCGGTCAGGGCACGTGCCCGGGTTGCGGGCTCGATCCCCAGTCGGGGGCGTGCGGGAGGCAGCCGATCAATGACTCTCATCATTGATGTTTCCATCTCTCTCTCCCTCTCCCTTCCTCTCTCTGAAGTCAATAAAGATATATTTTTAAAAAAATCATAGACCTTCCATCAATATAAAATACTCCATCCATTATACCTTTTTTTTGGAGAAAGAATCGAAACTTCGGTGGTGTTTCTTTCTCAATGTTACCCGGAAAAGTTCAAGCAATTTAATCTTTTAAATGTATTAACCATATACTGAATGCTTTGAATTTATAAGTTAGAAAAAGTTTCAGAGTATCCTGAAATGATGAACTCTTCCCCCTTATTAATAACAACCTCCAAATGCAGTCCAGACCAATGTGATTGTTTGCTTTCCGAGCAGGAAAACATATCTGCATCTTTAGAATCGTCTGAAAGGTTTGGGTGCCTACTGTTTTTTGGAGAAGTGTATGCATTGATTTTCTCAATGTTCTGGAGAGCGGAAAAAAGGGAGGGAGGGAGGGAGGGAGGGAGGGAAAGAAAAACCCTTCTTTAAATGTTTGAGACAAACTGATTGCATGGAACAAAAATAATTTTTATAATAAAGAAAAACTTTCTCATGGTAGAGGGAAGAGCCGAAAAGCTTAGCAGCTGCTATGTAGACTCAGGCTTGCGAGCTATAAGGACATCAGCTGGACCTAGGAACTCAGAATGTAGCTGCAAATGNAAGGCCGTGCCTACAGGACCGCCCGTCTTTCAGGTGACGCGCGGGTGACACCCCTAACGCCTCTTCAGCCAGCATCCACAGTCACGAAGACCCCAGGACACTTGAGGGCTCACTACTCACTGGACTAAGAGAAGGGCTGGGAGGCCCTGGAATGCCCGTGGGGCCGGGGGCCCCGGGGCACCTCTGTTCCTTCTTCCTGCTGTGCCACTTGCGCCCAGCAGTCCACAGGCACATGCTGAGCGTCACTTACAAAGAGCACCCCTGGGCTCCCAGGTAGGCAACCTGGTCCCTGCCAGCACCCCCTCCAGGTGCCCGTGGTGCTGGGAGTGCGGCTCACATGACGCGACCTCTAAGCCGTTTCTGTGAAGGCTTTCCACTCCGAGACGGGGCCGGGCTTGGTGCGGAAAACCTTGCGGCACCCAATGGAAACCTCCTCCGGGGAGTCGGTGACGGCAGGGACTTTGTCCCGAAGAGCAGGGTGAGGAGTGTGGGCCTCACAGTGATACCGTGAAGCTCAGACACACAACATGGCAATTCTGTCTGCAGTTTTAAAGCACTCAAGTCGGGATGCTCTTCCCTTCCCCTCCTCCCTCCCACGAATAAATATTAATTAAGCACCAACTTTATTCCAGGTCTGGGGGGGAAACGGTAACAACAGACGAGACAAGAATCCTTGCCCTCAGGGAAGGGAAAGAAAGATGCACAATAAACAAAGTAAGTAAAATGTGTAAAGTTAGAGGAGAAAATAAAGCCGAGAAAGGGTCTAGCGGGGGCTGTGGATGCTGCTGCTTTAGACAGAGTGGCCGGGGAGGGCTTGGCTGAGACGGGGACCCCGAAAGAATGGATGGAGGGGGCCCGGCGACATCAGCTGCCACAGCAGCCAGGCAGGGGGGCAANCAGCGGGGCTGTGGATGGTGCCGCTTTACACAGAGTGGCCGGGGAGGGCTTGGCTGAGACGGGGACCCCGAAAGAATGGATGGAGGGGGCCCGGCGACATCAGCTGCCACAGCAGCCAGGCAGGGGGGCAAAGCACAGAGACCTGCGGTGTGTTTAGGGAAGGAAAGGCCACGTGGCTGCCACACGGGATCCGATGGGACAGGAGTGAGAGGAGGCGGGGGGGCAGGGCCTGCGGGCCCCCCTGAACCCCGTAGTTCCTACTCCAGGGAAACGGGGAGCCAACCAGGGGTCTTGCCACAAGGAGGTGGCGTGGCCTGGAAAGTCTGAGCAGGATGGCTCTGGCTGCCGTGCAGAGAACAGACTCAGGCAGGGCCTGTCTTCCAAATCAAATCACATGTTTTCATTTACGGAAGATGTTTAAATGCACAGAAATAAGAGTCTTAGGAGTCAGAGAGAGTTTTCCTAAAGAACAGTTTAAAATAAACTTGATGAGAAACAAGTGACACAGCACGGCTGTGAGACATGGGACACGTAGGTACACGGAACTTTCATTCGAAAAAGCCGGTGGGGCTCTCAAGAGATTCCCGCGAGCCGCGGCGCTCTGACGGCGCCAGCGCGTGGGCCTGGGGGGCCCGGGGGGCCCGGGGCGGGACGACCGTCTCCACTGCCTAAGGCCACCATGCGGGGGGAGCCCTGCATCTGCACACCTGGGGCCCCGGGTGCACAACAGCCTTCAGCTGTGACGAAACGTCAGTTTTTGGTTCATTTCAGTGCTGTCTTACTAACCACCAGAAGCACCCCAGGATTTACGTTTCAGGTCATTTACAAAGGTAAGTAGCAATAACAACACGGCTCCCCAGAAAACGAGGCAGCCTCCTTCCCAGATCGTTTCTCTGACGCCTGTGATGGCTACTGGAAATGCAAGGAAAAAACACACCCAGGACAGAGAGCGAGAGAGAGGGACAGAGAGAGAAACAGGGAGGGAGGCCATTCAAATGTCTCTTTGGAAAACGTTTCTTCTTTCCATTTCAAGGGCGAAATTAGTTTACGGCATCACTGAAAACAAAGACAAACATGTGCAAACTTTCTAACCTGTCCGACTCTTTAAATGATATCCCAGGGTGAACACAGTTTACAGCACTGGCCATTTTCTGGCAGGAGGTGAGGAGCTGAGTTACTTAGCGAGGCTCGGGCTCTGCGCGGCTTCCCCTCCCTTCTTCCTGCCTCCTCGGATCTGCCCTCCCTCCAGGGTTATTAACCACACCCTGCAGGTTGTGAAAAACAAGCAGTTTCATCAAACACGGCCAAACCAAACGTAGGCCATCAGTTGGACAACAGCAACAGGTTCACCCTTCTTAGTTTGAAAGGCCGAATACAAGACCAGCGAGAGCGGAAACCCAGCCTACGGCAGGCCCTAGAGCTCCTCACCTGTCTCCCAGTGCAGCCGAGTCCTCGGGCGGGGGGCACTGTGCTTCTCCGCACTGCTGAGTGGGAGGGGTATCACTTTAATCGGCAGCTGAGAGGTGGGAAGGACTTGGAAGGTGCTGCAGAAAATGTTGAAATGTTTAATGTGTAGAGGTCAGTCAATGACAGTTATGATTCTCCCAGGACTAGACTACTGGTAGGTATTATATATATTGAATTTACATACCATCAGCAAAGCAATTACTTGAGTATGTGATTACCAAAGGGGTAAATAACATGTTTTAGGTCAACAAACCATAACTCTAAATTTCTTCCTACTGTGCGTTTAAAATGTCAACCCCGGGATTTTATTTTGAAGTTTAGAAATAACTGATGTAGCACATCCCTCTTAGGTGTGGCTGTCTGTGATTATGTCACTGTATTTGGTGGGCATTTAAATTTGGTAATGCCGTAAAAGAATCTCAGAGGGAAGGGAGGAGGGAGGTGGGAAGAATTAACTAAGAACTCATATGCATATATGCACAACCCATGGACACAGACACTAGTGGGCGAAGGCCTGGGAGGGAGGTGGGGTGGAGAGGGTCAATGGGGGGAAAAGGGGGATATCTGTAATACTTTCAACAATAAAGATAAAATTTTAAAAATAATTAAAAAATAATAAAAAGAAATAAAGTAGTAATAATGTTTTGTTTATCTCTAGATTCCCCAGCGGCAGGGTACAGGGGTTTCCCCCAGGGTGTGGCTGGCTGTGCACCGATCCAGCCACCCCTCCTCCGAGGAACCTGAGGTGCACACAGACAGGGGTGGGCGCCGTCCAGCACCCGAGACGTGCAGCTGAGCTCAGCAGCGAAGTCTGTGGTTTGGCAAAGCTGCCTGGCTGTGCAAACTTAGGGTCATTAGCATTTTGCTCTAAGCCCAAATCGCTATCCATTTTCATTTTACTGAAATGGATTTTGGACAGGAGAGAAAGGGCTACAGCTATTTTGTGGGACAAAATCATATTCTAATGTTTTCTCGAGGACAGACACTCTTATAAAGCCGCAGTGTCACCAGTTTCAATGAACTGGCATCTCCTGCTCTCAGCCCTTTTGTTCTAAGTAATTTCTCCCTTCTTGGTAAGAGAGAGTCAAAATGTTTACACCACCTTCTGGCAGGGATTTCTAGCAGCCTGAACGAAGTCTAAGACAACAATCTGCCTACTACTATCATCTACTGTAGATGAAAATTAACCTTAAAGCTGAAAAACACCCATTGTCCTAGCAGTTACCACTACTGTGGCTGATTATACTTCCTGAGCATAATATCAAATCCAGAAAAATCAATCATATAAGAAAATAATATTTTCTTACTGGAAAAGTCCACCTCTTCATCCAATTTAAATAACATATATTTGATCCCTACGGTTTAAAAATATCTGACCATTAGGAAAGGGTTAATTTTCAGGATGCTGAATGAAATAGGTTTCTGGAGATATGTTCACTACAGGAATTCATTAATCAGTAACGGGCTGAAGTCAAACCTGAAAGCATAAGATTTATTTTCTCAGTGTCCTTAAGTCATCCAATAAAAGGCACAGGGGTTTGGGGCCCAGAATGACCTGGCTTGACATTATAGCTGGGTCTCTTGCTAGCTGTGAAATCTCAGGGAATTCATTTGACCTTAACCATCTATTTCTACCCTCCTATGATGGGGCTAATACCACCTACCTTGCAGAGTTGAGAAGAGTCAAGGACATAGTGACCCTTAATAAATGATAATTATTATTGTGATGTAGAAAGCAAATAGGAAGACACTGGTTATGTATTTCATATCATTCACAAAGTTCAGTATTAATGACACTGAACTAATGATTACAAGAATAATGTAATCTCTTAGCAAAATAACATAATGCAATAATGTGATCTCTTAGCAAAATCTCTTCTGTGTATCATGCAATTACCTCTTCTAAGTATTATACCTGTATCAACATTTGATATTACAACCACCCTATGAGGTACTATTTATTATTCTCATTTTAAAAATAAGGAAACTGAAGCACAGAGAGGTTCAGTAATTTGCTCAAGGTCACACAGCAGAATCAGGATTCGAATCCCGGTAGCATGACTGCAGGGCTTATGCATTAAACCACTTCATTAAAAGCCTAAAAAATAACACTAATGTAAGATAATAGCCACTCCACTCATCAAATACGGATTAAATACATACAAGATGCTACATTCTGTACGAGGCACAGAACCTACAACCTTTAAGAAGCTGACAACATGGCCACTAGAAGCAATCATGCTACCTCAAAGTTAGGACTCAAAAACCATATTTCTCTGCATTTTTTAAAAAGGGTCTCCTTTATATTACTGTTATCTAAGAACCATACGACTCCAAAAATTATGGCACAACCATTAATTACTTGCAGAACTCACCAGGGTTTCTACATCTTCTGGAAAATACAAATAAAACCATGACTGCACTTCGTTCATCTTTATGTTAAGATCTTTTAAAAACAGCCACAAAATTTATCCTTATGTTCTTACTATAGTGTGTCTCACAAATAACCACCAAAATGGGTCAGAAAAGGAATTTCTGGTCACTAACACCACTAAAAATTTGGTCAAAAGGTAGATCAGTGTTAAAAGTAACTCAAACAAGTAGCAAAGGGAACTAGGTAAAAAGGTCCTATTTCAATGCCCACAGATAAGAACAATGACTCTGTGATCGGGTCTGTAGATTTCTTTTCTCTTCCCCTCTTAGAGTCTTAATCATAATTTTCCAGTCTCAAGTGCATAAATAATAAGGTAAGTAGGCTTCTGATGACCTGAAAATACTCCATGAGCTTTAAAATAGGGCTACTCTCCTTTACTCTAGGATACGATAGTTACAACCCATCAAAACCAAAAAATAATTGTGGATAATATACAGCGTGGGGCGAACGTAGGTTTACAGTTGTGAGTACCCGAAACACAGTTTATTCTTGTATTATTATTTGTCACTGTACTATTTTCCATATGCAAAACTGTAAACCTACTTTTGCCCCACCCTGTATAATTGTGGAAAATATACAATGTCTATAATGCATATAAAATTATTTGTTAAACTAAAACGCTGCCTTTATTGCAATTGAACCATTTTTGTTTCAAAGAATTGTACTTCCACATGCTAACAAATAATTATGTAAGTTATGGGAACAATAATCTAATGGCAATAGCTTCTGTGTTTCATTCCTTGTCGAGGGAAACAGGTTGTTCAGGAGCCAAGTGGGTTAGTAACAGGAATGGCACCATTTTCAGTTCAGTTGGGGTGAAGGCTGCTCTAAACAGCAATGACATTCCCCTCCCCACCCCTTTTCAGGAAAAATGGGAACGAAAGGACAGTTAGCACCATGGGAATCAAATGGAAAAAGGTGCCCTAAATGCTCTTTAGAAGGCACCCGGCAGGTAATTAAGACAGAACGACTGGTTTTGCAAGTATCACGGGTGTAGACACCAAGGGCAGTTCCCTGCTCCCCGGGCGAAGGGCGAGCTCCCCGCAGCCCCGCCGCTCACCTGGTCCTGTCCGTCTTCCTCGGCCTGGCCCTCGGCTGGCGCTTGAAGGCATTTCCCCCAAGATCTGGTCACTTCCCATCCCTTCTTTGCGATTGTCTGCAATTCCCTCAGTTAAGAACAAGCATCCTTCAGAGTTTGCAATTTTATTTAGCTGTGACGGTGACAGTGCTGTTGTGGGATCTGTTTTTTGTTTGTTTTTTAAAGAGGACATCTGAAGGTCCCTTGTAGAAAGGTTTCAGGTACACTGATTGACTCTTTCGTTTACTTATGCACAGAACACTTTTCTATCTGCTTTTTCATTTCATTTGTCAGCTGGAAACTTCTTGGAGGAAAAAAAAACAGTAGAGAAGCATCTTTTGAAATTATTGCCCAATTACTCGAATTTAATTCACATCAAGCCCGACTGCGGTGTATACCTAAAATCCCAAAGGTGATCTTTTCCCTCTCTCAATTCAGTCATTTTAGGATGATAGCAATGAGTTTTTTATAGCAAAAAATAAAAAAATAAAAATATGCATTTAGTGAGTCATTTCACCCCCTTGGAGTCTCCGACTTCACTTCATTTGTGCGGTTGATTCAAACCCTGGTTTTCCCCATGAAATCGTGTCAGTCGGAACCGGCTGGAAAGGTTACTGTGGAAACGGCAGGGGCTAAGGGGCGGGGACAGAGGACGAGAGATGCCATGACAACCTGTGTCGGGTTTCCCAGGAAACGCAGGTTGCTATGGAAACTGCATAAGTCGGGTCCGAATTAGTAACTTCCGCTGAAAGGAGTATCTGCCACTTTAATCTTCTTGTGAGACTGTAGCCGCTCCTCTCTCAGAGGCAGTGGGAAACGTGTTAGTTTCCGCAGCACTGGCAACTGTTTCTAGCGGCGGAAACATGCGCGCGCGCGCGCGCACACACACTCACACTCACACACACACACACACACTCACACACACACTCACACTCACACGTTCGCAGGCATCTGAGTCTCATACTTTCAAAATGCCTAACAAGCCCCAAAGCGTTAAAGGAGCTAGTCAGAGCAGGACATCTTGGTCATTTCCCTTTGTTCAAAGCCGTAGAGATCCTTAAAATTCTGGGAAGGGGGGGAGGGGGGTTTCCAAATAGCACAGAAATTCCAGTCGAAAGCCAAATAAACTTACGGTGGGTTTATAAGTCTTTTCGATTGGGCTTCCCATCCACACAACCACAGTGTCGGCAATCGAACTACAACACCCTCGATGACGCTGGAAGGTCCCTGAAGCCGAAGCCTCCTTTACGCACGCGCCTGCTTTACTTAGTAAAGAAACAACTGTCTTTTAATTCTGAGGTTAAAGTTACTCTAACTGTCTTTTAGTTTCATTTCCTCCCAGGATGTACAGGTTTGTTTGCTTTTTTTTCCCCCCCCGTAGGGCGTGTAGGAGAAATCAAGTTTAAAGTTTGCTGTTTGCAATAATAAGGGGGGGGG